ACTATGGATTAAAATTTTGGGTACCTTAATACCCTGGATTTAGAATCATATGAAGGGTATTGTAATATGTGCCATAATGATACCCATGTGGAATCTCTATCTGTTGGGTCCTTTGCTGGTTTGCTGCTTGAAGTCTCTGGTTATAGATGTTAGGATCTATATCTCTACGAATCCTTTGAACTGATGGCGCTATTGTTTGAGCCGACGATAGTGCTTGGCCTAATGTACCAAAATTAACCATCTGGTTTTGGATTTGCCCCGTCGGCTCTTACACATGCTGCACTGACGATCCAGGATTATACTGTACTTGATTTGTGGTGGTACCTTGAATTTGCCCAGATGAGCTCTGAACTGCCTGGACATCATCATTACCAGCTGGTGCTGCTTCTTGATGGTTAGTACCGGCTTGATTAGTCCCCTAAGTCGATGGATGTGGAATATTATAGTAAACCAATCCAACCTGATCAATTGGATATCCATGAAACACCTACTTCATGGTGTTGTGGAATGTGTTCAGGAAAACTATATTATGGTTTAATATGGCATCATGAACAGATTTGTTTACAGCCTCCATGAAGATACGTCTATCCTCAGCTTCGTCTGCATCTGTCTGTCCATGTATGAAAACTCTTGGTAGTGGATATTTCTGAACAACTTTATTGTCACGTGTCTTGGTGTAGAACAACAAACACTTGTTCTAAAATTCTTCTATAGCTTTGCTGATGACATCTTTATCCTCATCAGGTAGGTCTTCATAAGGTACCATAAGGATGTTATTGTTGTTGTAAGCCGCCATGACGATTGTGGTGTCCCACCGGGCGTGCCAGAACATTTGTCGGCGTAAAAATATGTCAATGCGCCGAGCACACAGCAAGCCAGAAGGATCTGCTTGATGGAGCAAGGCTGGAAATCTGCTTGGCTTCAACGCAGGGCTAACCGATCCTGCGAATTCCTCCCGAGGCGTGCCAGTCAATTTGACCTACAATTGACAAGGAGAGAAAGTTTATCACTAACTTAAGGTAGAATATGCCGGTCTTCACCTAGACAGTTCCAAGTGTGCCGCTTCAGTAGCAGCCAGACGAGAAAAATCGACTAAACAGCCGATACGCGAAGAAATTGGCTGTTTATGGACTGTAAAGCTCATGGGTCGTGATTGATTTTATACTGACAAGTACAATGCATGTGGATATAAGCAAAATCATCAGCTAGGTGGATATTACTAGTGTAAAGCATTGAGCCGATGAATCTAACGAGAAAGGATATAACATGCGAACAAATCAACTGTTTAGTACGAATAGATCTACAAACGCTCTGAATCTAATCTGTTACCATCAACAGTGAGGTTCAACCGGATCGATGGTAGCTATGATGATAATAACAAACTAAAACCGAAGAATCCGTAAAACTATCTATACATCGACAGGCTTTCCGAAAGACATGCTATATGCATGAAGGTTCAGGCGGATCGGCTGAAATAGCCGATTCAAGTGAAAAGGGACTACAACATGTGAACAATCGACTATTTAACATGAACAAATCTATGAACTCATTAGACTTAACCTGCTATCTCTAACAGTGGGGTTCGACCGGATCAATGGCAATCGTGATAAAGACAACAAATTAAACATTTATAGCAAACAGATCTATTCACATTTAACAGAATCATGGAGACACATTGTAGGCGTTAAAGCATAGGCGATCAGCTATTTAGCCGATGCAGGCATAGCAAACAGCCAAGGTCACGCCTGATCGAGAACAAATCTGCCAACTAGCATCCTCCGATCTAAAGTGCCATCAGTGGGGATCGACCGGATCGTTGTAGTCATAACGGCGAACTATAGACCAGATTTAACAATCCAGCAAACCTCCTCAAGATCGGACATGCCTTAACTGCGTACTATGCACGATCAAGATCGAAATAGAACAGCCAATGAAACATAACCCGTCGCTTAAAGTAAGAAACATCGCATTGTAACAAAGCAAACGACGGACTAAAAGGATGTAAGGCCGATCTAGATCGATCTCGATCTGGTAGATTGATGTTGCTGAAAATTAATGACAATAAGAACATCAGCAAGATCGGTAACTTAATGAATCTACCCGAAGAATGCCACTCTTAGGTAGAGCCGATAACTTGACCTTGATCTAATTCGAGCAGTGGAGGTCGAACTTAACCGATGCAGCTGTACTTGAACTATATAAGAGTCCATAACTAGCTTATACTAGAGCTCGCAGTGGAGGTCGAACTTAACCGATGCAGCCGTACAAACAGAAGTATAAGCCATGACGGTACTTACAGATAAGCCGAAGGTCAGCCGGACCGATGCAGCCCTACTTGTTGAAGAACTCGTCGAGATCTACACTACTTCTTCTCCTAAGGGTTGGCGTAAAGCCGAAAAAACTAACTTGTATTGATTGATTGGATCGATGTCCTTTTTACAATAGCCGGGGTTCAATATTTATACCCGGAGCATAAGCATAAATCCTACTCAAGTACGACTCATTACAATCTTTGGTATAAAGAAAATATTCATATCTTAAGATAACTTGGACCCTAATCTTTCCCTTTTTGTAGAGTCCGACATGTATTTCTCGACGCCAATCGTAGCTCATTGTCGTTATCTGCTGACGTCATTCGAAGAGAGCCGATTCCAGCGCCGCATCTGAATCAGCTGATATTGATCCTCATTCAATCGATTCCTTGATTGACACAATCTTAGAAGCTTTGAGTTTTCGTATTCTTCTTCCCAAATTTTGGTGTAAACAGAATGGAAAGTTGTCAACTCTAATTGGGGCATCATAGTCAGCTTGATTGGTGCAAATTGTGTCCCTAATTCCATTCAACAATGCTGGTCATGGTTGCAAAAATGGCTACCTACTGATAAAATGAATGTATGTTTTGTTGATTGTAGCTATTTGTTGGTCAACATGGAAATGTCGAAACAGAACTTATTTTGACAAAAATACCATGATGCACCCTTTGGAAGTGACAACTAGAGCTCATTCTTTTCTTAAATTTTGGTCATCTTTACTCAAGGTAGGCCTCAAATAAAAGGTGGTGGATGGAGTGAACATTCTACTACATGATGCCACTCGCACGATGGTCACAACTCCACATCACCAGGAGCTGGGCATCACCGCATCGAAGAATCGACTGGTGACAAGGAGGATGACATCCAAGAGAGGAAGGACTAAGAGTTGTGAGTGCTGTCTGAACTGAATGTTGAGCCTTATTTTGTTTGCTATCTTTGGCTAATTACTAGAACTTGTCTTTTGTGTGGGAGGTATCTTAACTTAAAACCTTTTACACGTAGATTGTTCACCCGAATCAGCTGACTTCTTGTATTCCAATGCTTTTGCTTTCTAACTTTGTTGCTCTTTGATGGTTTCCGTGGTAATATGGAAATATGATTTATCTCTGTTCAAGAAAGGTCTCATTTGTTCTCCAATTGCTCTCTTAGTTAGTGGTACTGGCAACTACTTTGAATCTCTTGGGACCTCTCTCTCTCTCTCTCTCTCTCTCTCTCTCTCTCTCTCTCTCTCTCTCTCTCTATATATATATATATATATATATATATATATATATATATATATATATATATATATATATATATATATATATCTATCTATCTATCTATCTATCTATCTATCTATCTATGCCTCTAGACATGCATCATAACAACAAGAGATAGTTTTGAAAGTAGGATATCTAGGGAGAGATTGTCATTGTGGCTTGTTGGAATGTTTGGTGCCATCAGAACAACATCATTTTACTATGGGGTTCTCTTGGATGACACACTTTGAAGAGGAGCTTTGCCTAGTTACAATAGGGGCAAAACCAGACCAAAATATTATTAAGTGAATCATTGAATAATTAATGTTTCTTCTCTCTTTTTTGGGTATAATGAATATCCCTGTAGTTTGTGTATAATTTTCTTTATATATAAAAAGGTAGGGTCCTCCCTAGCTAATTTCCTATAAAAATGGATATGTGTCATACATATATATATATGCTTCCGATTTATATAGATATTCTTTTTTTGCAAATGTTCAATAAGGGGAGACTTTAATCATTTTGGTTGTTTACATGAATGAACCTATAGATCAGTATTCATTTCTAGAATGATGAGTCATTAAAAAAACTATAGTTCAGAACCAGTGAACCACCATCCAATCAAAATTACATCCTGAATATATAGGTAGTTAGAATATATATACATATGTGTGATGTACTTGAATTGAAATACACATACTAGCTTGCATTATCCGCCTAAACATCGATTTAATCCATTTAAATGTTTAAATGGCAAAAAAAGGCCACTCATATTGTTTAGGTCCTAAATGGTGCATTGGACGGTTGAACTATTTAGAGCATTAAAACCCTTCTAAGCGGTCTGAACAAGATCAAGTTAAATGTGATTAAATGAGATAAACAACAATTTAATTCATCATTTAGTCAATAGAAGGATTACAACTACCACATTGGCACCCATATCTAATTATCATCGTAAGTATATGAGGTGAAGTAGATTTAGTTTTCTTCTAGAAAATATTTGATAGAATACTTATTTTGACATACGTAAATATTTATACTTTCTAACACATTTGTTGACTTTTACATTCATAATTACTATGTATATTTTTAGTGTTACTATATAAAACCATTTGGACTGTTAAACTCTGTTTAAACACTGTCTAAATGGCCTAAGCACTAAACAAAGGATGACCGACCATTTAGAATAACATTGGGTGCTAGTAATAAATACGATCCATAGAATTGTGGAAATTTTTATGTAGACAACAAAATCTTAAACACATATATTTATTTTCTCATTCTTTAAATATACCTTAGCTTGAATTAATCATAAGCACAAAGGTATATATTATGATCTGTCACAGCAATTAATTAAGTAAAATTTGTGCATAATTGTAACCTATTTTTCATCAAAGCATTTATGCCATATGTATTGTAGCCTTCCTTATACCTTGAGCCTGATAGATTAGAACTTTTGCCACTCATAACTTACCCCCCTAGAGTAGATGTTTGCATTCACAGGATTATTACTAGGCTCCAATTCCTCCAGCTCTGCGAAAACCTCATCTGAAGGTTGGATGCTATTGCAATTGATCGGCTGATGCATCGCAACACCCTCCTCATCAAGAGTGTCGATAGCGTAGGCAACATACCCAGCTGCATTATCTTCCATAATGTTTGTCATTTGCTGCTGACACTTGATGTTGCTACTGGGGACTGCATTATGCTCGGAGTAGTTGCCATTCTTTGATGATGATGATGTTGGCCATGAACTCGTCGGTTCAACCCTGCAGCTGTTCTTCTTCTTGCAGTTGGACATGTGAGTGTGAGGCCTGGAGTACCCAGCAAGTACATTGCGTTGCATTGGCCAAGGGTGGTTGTGTTCTGACGTGTAGGTGATCACTAGCATGTTCGGGTCACTGCGGCTGCGCTCTACTTGCTTCCTCGCCATACACCCCTTTGAGCTGCTGCATTTGTAGTAACCTCTGCAAAGTAAAATAAAGTTTCACTTAGTCACAGCCATTTGGAAATAAATATACTTAGAATTTTTCCAGTGAATTAATGAATATTGGGATAAGGGATTGATATTTCAGATTTGAGACAATATATATGCATCAATAATCATACCGGCGTCTATAAAACTAGCACATAATTAATATAATCTTTGATTCTGTATCAAGGTCCGTAGGCCCTATAATGTATAAAGGATTTGATGAAATTTTAGATGGCATAGAATATGAGGTAAAACCATGAAAACATATATACAGCTCAGGCATGTAGATTGATGGAAATTTTACTCTATCCTAAATAATTGGTTGCTAGCTTACTTATGTCTGTAATTGAGTATTTTCATTATTTATTTGGATAGCTGTCATATACCTCTGAAAAAATATAGAATAATATTAATGGAGGAACATTAAAAAAGCAAAAACATATTTGACTTCTAAACCACCACAGTAAGTTTATGGAATATATGGGCAAAGAAATTTGTTAGGTGAAGATATACTTTCACTATGATAACCCCATTTGAAATTTCAGTTGTATTGCAGATTAAAATATACGCATGGGCTAGCTAGCCGGTCTTTGATGAACAAATATTTTTTTCAAAAACAATGTTAAACTAAACTAGAAGAATAAACAAGTTTGAATGTATGAATCACGACCACTTTTGACTCCAAACAGTAGGGATTTAACGCTAGGCAGTTTATCATATCATTGTACCAAAAAACTTTAAGGGAATGTACAATCTTTAGAAGAATATAGGAAACCTAGCAAAGAGAGTTTCTGGTTCTGGTTATTCTTGGTTTCAGCTAAACAGAATCACTCCCTCGCTGCAAATTTGGCTTATGCTAATTTATTGTAAGGGGAAAACATTGTTCGTTCGCTAAAAAGTACTGCTAAAGTAATGCCACGAACAGGGCCAATGGCTGTCTTAGTTTTCAGACATTTTAATTTGCTATGAACCATCCTTTTTATAAATAAAATTGAGACAAAGTGCGTCTGTCTCATGTAATCATCTTATTAAATCTTATGAAATTCACATACTTTGCACAATTAGACAAATTGGTGGAAGCAAACTAGGGCATCCAAGTGAGACAGAGAACAAACTAGTAGAGGCTCTGAGGCACACATAATTGGCCTATTAAAAATGCAAAGTTATATATCTTGTCTGCCACATACATTCAAATTAGCAATATAATTGGACATTGGGCCATAAATTTGGACTGGATTTTTTAGTAGCACCAGAAGTTAATTAGTTGTGCATTAAATATGCATAAACCTATCTTAATTTGATGCATATACTAAATAGGGAAAATAGATGGATGTAACTGATCAAAAAGAGTGATGATGAAATCAACAGTGATTGTCATCTTATATATTGTTAGTCTGCCAAATTGCCCTATGAAACCCACTTTAAGAGCAAGTACCCCTGGATTAATTGCCTATACTACAGTCTCTTTGTGGTGACCTTAAGTGAAGGGGCGATCAACCAAATCGAGGACGAGGTTTGTTCATCTAATAAATAGATATTAGTAAGAAGTATATAATTAAACCTGCATGATAGATTCTTTATATATACAACTAACTATTTCTTGTAGTATACTATAGTTGAAAAGGTATAGTAGAAAGTAATTACTTAATTAGATCAAGAGGGAGCTATGAATGAATTAATATATTTTTTCTCTGAAACAATATCTAAATGCCTATTTGCTGGACCAATTAATTCAGTTCTTATCAGGGAATATTGGAGCGGTCTCTATCGAAGATGACCATGCATGGTTTCTGTTGACTTGCTATGGTATACCTGCACATATGAGCAGTGCATATTATTAATGAAATGTGGAAATTAACATTAATTTTTTATGTTACATCTCTCTCTACACCGTGTACCTGTGCAACAAAAAGAGACTGATGCTATCCTTTTCAGAAAAAGAAGGCAAAGAAAGAGATCTGATGTTGATAAGTATTAATTATATTGGATCATTATTAAGTGCTTGTTTATTATTTGCATTGCCAATAACAAATTAAAAGAAAAAAATTAAAAAAAAAGGTGGGTAGGCACCTTGGGTAAGGCGAGCCCTTGATGGGTTTCTGGCCGTATTTCCTCCACGCCCAAAGATCAGAAGGAATCACCTCTCCTCCTGGCCTGCTGCTCGCCGGCGGTAGCGCCGGGATACACACCACCTTCTTCACCTCGTTCTTTCTGCTGCAAATTAAGTATATACGCAAAATGTTCTGCAATTATTTAATTTTAGAATCATTTATATATGAATTTCCAAAAGTATAATTTGGAACCATGATGCATAAGCTAATTAAGAGTCGAGAGGGAAATAAACTCGATCTGATCAATTTGGCAAACTTGGTTTATCAGAGATCAACACAAAGTAACCAGACAACTTATATGTTAATAAGCTACCACTGGGAGAGGATCTGGATGCCCGAGTTTGCAGCTGGTGCCTGCTAGCTCGCCAGAGCCCCTCGCTCAAAAGAAAAGAAACTAGGAAGAAGCAATGGGGAAGGAATAGAACTATTGCAGAAAAAAAAAAACCAACCAGCATCTAATGACGAAGAATGAATTTAAATCAACTAGCTTAGTCGTACTCTGAATGACCAAATCCCAAAGAAATATATTATATAAAGTATATGCCTATGCAAAGACAAAGGGGTTAATACAACTATGCGCCGTTTTGTCAAAAACGAACAGTCGAATTGAAATCAGCTTTGAGTCACATCATCCCAATGCAAAGCATGTTTTGACTGATAGCCTACAGCTAACCAAATACGCATCCAGAAGTAAACGGCAGCTGAAAAGGGTCGTCGTGCAGCAATGAGTAAACTGCGGCAATCAGAGAGCAAAAACAGCCATGAATTATCACGAAAGTAACAGTAGAAAAGGCAAGGGATAGATAGATAGAGAGAGAGAGAGAGAGGCATGGAAAATCAATCATGCGAGATCCTAAGAGTTAGTTGAAAAGGATGCATCGATCGAGAAAGGAAGAAGGGGGCAACAGTTATCGATCCAAAAATTAAAGAAATCAAGCCACGAAATATAGAGCAAGCACTAGCTTTCCCAGTCAATAAACCTCTTCATGATTTGATGATGAGAAGGCGGTGGAGGAGTGACTGGAGAGATCCCCATCATCATGGGCTCGTAGCCATCGGCATCGGCGGTGGCAGCGCCTCCCATGGCCACGTCGGGGCCGTAGCAGGCGTGCTGGGAGATCTGTTGCGGCGGCAGCCAGTACCCACCGTGCGGCGGCGGCGCCGTGGCTGCAGATGAAGACAGCTGGTATGGATTGACGACCATCGCCGACGACGGCGCGTCGAACATGACCAAGTCACCGCAAGCAGCAGCAGGCCGTGGCTCCTGCTCCTCGTCGTAACAAGCAGCAGGGATGACCATGATCTGGCCGGCAGCCATCGACACGATGTGACTGTGATCTGCTGCTGCAGGAGAAGGAGAGGGAGAGGGCGGCCGCCGGTGGTGACTCGCCGCAGCGGCCATGGCCATTGCACCAGCACGGGCCACAACCTCGGCGAGGTCGCCCCGAGCTGCAGTGCCGGCGACGGTCTCCTCCGCTATGTCCATAGTGGTGTGCTCACTCTTTCTACTTTCCACTAGCAGCTCGCTCTATTACTACCTAGCTAGCTAGCCAACACGGCAACACACACCCCTGTGGTTGGCGTTGGAGCTAGCAGTCAATGGACATACAGTCATACACACGCACACACACTGGATGGGTGCTATATACTACTATCATGCTATGCTGCCAATAATAACCTTTTTCTCTCTCCCTCACACACATACACGCGCGCGCGGGCTGCATAGTAGTGTATATACTCCATGAAATTCGCTGGTCTGAATTTTGAACGAAACTGAGTGAAAAACACTATTCCAACTGAATTGTTATAAAAAAAAATATTGTTCTGATTAAAAAAATAAATCGAAGAAGCCAAATTTAAAACAAACAAACAGGGTATATGCTAATTAAGCTAAGAGACGAACGATATATAAATGACCGGATGGGATGTTTTTAGATTCTAGCAGTACATAAGAGTGTGTGCGCGCGTCGTTTCAGAGCCACAGGTACCAACACCCTGTTGGTTTACGTTGAAATTTGACTTAGCCTGATGTTTATACTGAAATATTATGAGAGAAAAATATTGTTTTATGACTGAAAAAGTAGCTCAAGCGATATGTATTTATTTGGGCACCGCCTACAGCTCCGGCGACTGTTGATGTCAACTGTGTGCAACTTAGCCCTTGTTTAGTTCCTTCGCTAAAACTTTATATCATATCACATCGAATGTTTGGACACATGCATAGAGTGTTCAATATAGACTAAAAATAACTAATTACATAGGTTATGACTATTTTGCGAGACAAATCTTTTAAGCCTAATTAGTCCATGATTTGATAATAAAATGCTACAGCAACACGTGTACTAATGACGGGTTAATTAGGCTTAATAAATTCGTCTCGTGGTATACTAACGGATTCTGTAATTTATTTTTTTATTAGTATCCGAACACCTCATACGACACCCCATGCGACATCCAATGTGACACCCAAAATTTTACATGCTGGTCTAAACACCACCTTATTGCATATTGCACCATGTACAGGTCCACAGTTCCGTCCACGACGACGCTAGCACCACTAGCTAGATTCTAAATCAGATGTGCGCAAGAAGAGGAAAGGAGCTAGCTTTTCAACCATCCATGACCATGATCCATCCATCTCGCTGGCTTAGCTCGATCGCTGCTAACAACAAGCAGCAGTCACCCTAGAAGGACCAGTGATGACGATGATGATGCCCTTTTTTCTGTCTCTGCTTCATCCTCACTACTACTCTCGTTGATGGAGGAGAGAGGGAGAGCGTAAGACGACAAGAGGACAGGGACATGGTGGCAGTTATGATAGAGAGAGAGGGAGGTGTGTGTAGTAGTAGGTAAACCTTTGCTTTTGCTGGTTGCGTCTATTTGCGATAACAATTGGGCACGGTAGGAAGACGTACGTACCTTGCAGCCAATTAGCTAGCGATGCACGCGTCCTCTCACTCCTCACTCTCTTGTCTGGGCTGCCTGCCTGCCTGCCTGCCTGCCTGCCTTGATCTCTTTCTCTCTCACACAACACACTCTGTGGGTTTTGCAGGGAGGAGCAAGCATGCAGCTTTTGACGCAATTGCCATGAAAACAAACAAAAATCCTGTAGCATATATACTTCCTCCGTCTCAAAATATATGTCGTTTTCGTTTTCTGAGAAATAACTTTAATAAAATATATATTAAAAATATTAATATTTATAATATATAATTGGTATCATTGGAAAGATCTTTAATCTAGTTTTTTAATAAATTTATTTAGAGATATAAATATTGCACGTATTTTTTATAAATTGAGTCAAACTTGTGGTATGGAAACTAAAAGAGAATAATTTGGGACGGAGTGAGTACATGTCTCTAGGAAAGTGACCAATTCAACTATGGCCCTCGCTCTCCGGGGAAAGTGGCAGGCAGAGGCAGAGGCAGAGGCTCATCAATATTCATCAGTGAACCTTGATTCTCCGCTTGCGTTTACGGTTTACGGTTTCTGCAAGCCTATGCCTAGCTACCCTGTGCTCTTTTTAATTTTGTGTGACGTGATATAATATTAAAGTATAGAAATTTGTTTTGTCCATTGTCCTTTGCTCACACCCCTCTTCTTGTGTTCCTCTCAATCCTTCATCCATCGCTTCCAAGTTCCATCCGTCCCTTTTACGGGTAGCAAACGGATATCCACGACAGGAGACCAAGGCCTCCAACACGATGTTAGTTACAGCTTAGAATTGCAAAATCTTCACTGGCGCGGCACCAACTCATGTCGTGGCCTGGTTAGCCGAGCTTGTGCGCGTCATGGGACACGTGGGTGTGCATGGCTCGCCTTCCACTTCCGTCAATCTTATAACAAGTACACACAATAGACATCCAGTTAATCTAATTAGTCAATCTCTTGTCAATTTATCATGCATAATTATAAATTTATTCCACCTAGGACTTAACTTTTTACCTTGGATTTATTTCATTTAATTGCAATAAGGATATTGTCGAGGTTTCATATCGTGAGCTAGTGAATTTATGAAGCTTAGCACTCGGAGAATAAGGAATTATATTGGTTCATGCAACATACCCTACATCTAGTTAGGGATGTTTGATCATGTTCTTGAGCACCAAGGACTCAAATGTTTGCAATAACAGTCACAAATGGGGGGAGAGAGATCTCAAGGAGCTATGCAGGTTTAAGGTGCTCAGAAGAAGAAAGGGAGCCCCAACCTAATCTTACATAACCGAGACGACTGGGTTGGTATAGAAAATGGTGAAATCCCACATGTTGGTCAGTCCTGACGTCACCTGGTCCCATCCTCTACTGTTGTCGTTGTCCTATCCGGGGTCATGGTGAAAGATGCGGGGAGCGAATTGGGGATTCGGGGAAGAGAGGCCGGGCAAATCAAGTTACCGTGTCCTCTGGTGATATATGAGACACGGACGACCGAGATTGCTTAGGATCAAGCAGGTGGTATGAGTGACAATGAACGTACGAAGTGACGAATTTTGTCGGCACAATCATCGAATCTTATGGCAATTGTTAGCAATTACACTTCTCTAGACATTGAGGTGAGTTAATGACGATGGATAGTATGCTAATAAATAGAGAGGCAACCCAAACAATTTGTTAAGACACACATTACACATAATCTTTAATTCAATACATAGATTGATGAACACTAAGATCATTTCATGCTCCTAGATTGCAAATAAATTAAACTAATTAGAATCCTCACAGTCGGAGGATCCCTGTGCCTCTTTTCTAGAGGCTCATCATTGTCCTCCTCATACCCCTCCACCTCCTCCTCCTCGTCCCTCGCCACCTTACCATAGAACTACTTGCCATCTGTCATCTAGGGAGAACTAGGTGGACCGTCTTCGCTTGAGCCTGCCTCACCGTCACTCTCCCATAGTTCTGATCTCTGATCCTTCCTCACTTGAGGAGTCATTGTCGGGCAGCTTGCAACCTTTCATTGTTCGAGTGGAATTTTGCTTTGGTGTATACGAATTTGGAGCGGAAAAGAAGAGTGCAGGTTTTCAGAGGGTAGATCGCGTCTATTTGTACACAAATTGTGAGCGCCTCTTCGGTTCCCAATGTCAATGAGGATGAATGTTGGTGACACTCCATGGGCACAAAGTTTCGAGCGTGTGTGACTGAATAGTCGTGCTGCCTCACAAATGCCAATGATGAGCAATCAAACAAGAGTGTCTTTCCCAGGCTGGCCCAAAAGCCCCCCATAATGGCCATAAATAGTGCCCACAGATCAGCCCTGTTTCCACCACCGTTTCATCCTACCATTCAGTGGTAAAAACAATGTTCATCGTCGGGATTAGGACAACAATTTTTCATTCAACGGTGAAATAGTATTCTTTTGCAGATGGTTCAAAACGAAGTGGTGCACATGTCATTTCGGCTGGTGGTGTACCCTACTTTCGACATTGGCTCGGCGCATGGTCGATAGTGAAATTGACCCCAATTATCAATGATGGGTCTTACGATGGCTCACCATACTGATAGATTAATAGGATACTGCAGTGAAAGTTGACCCCAATTATCAAACTCCAAGGTTAAGTGTGCTTGATCTTACGATGACTTCCCGGGGCGCATGAGTGAAAACACTTTTCATCTATGTCCTGAATTAGATGTAAGCGGCTGGCCTCGAGGAGGCGGGGACGTTACCCTATCCCCCCTTGCGGTTTCTCGGGTCAACCGTGGTGAAACATTTTCATCGGCCTGGGTTGACCGGAGGACGTCGGTCTCCTAAGGGGGAGATGTAAGTGTGCTTAATAGGATTAATAGGATACTCGCAACAAGTGCTTGCATTTTTTGAAGCCCATCTCTTAGAACTCCAAGGTTAAGTGTGCTTGGCCTTGGAACGATGGGTGACCGACTGGAAGTTCTCTCCGGGCGCATGAGTGAGGATCCAACAAAGGTGTGATTTAGGGCGAGAAAGCTATCGATGTAAGCGGGCTAGAGTAGGGACGTTACAATCGACATTGAAAACACTTTTCAGTTGCGAATTGGCACTCCCTACCAATGGCGGTAATGGCAACAATGCGGTTCTGTTAGTGTGCAGCGGTGCCCATTTCTGTAGTAGTGTAGCAGGGTGAACTCGCATGTGAATCGTCGGGTGGATTTAGCGGTGAGAGGGCTAGAGTAGGGACATCGAGCATTGCAGTGAAGCTTTGCTGGCGGTAATGAGCCGGCATAGAGCAGAAGAAGGCATGGATTGGGGGTGGAGCTCGGCTTCAACATCGTTAATGGTGTTAGTAGAGCCATAGAGCGAGAAGAACGATTGGGGTGGAGCTCGGCTTCAACATCGTTAATGGTGTTAGTAGCGGCCATTGCGGTTTAAATGCCATTACAAGCGTGATTGAAGGAGGGAGATTGAAGAGTGGCATTAGTGGAGTGTGTTGGTGTGGTTGGATTGATGCGGGGTTGAAGGAAGGGGCGTTTGATTGTGAGCTCGGCGCAACAATGGTGGAGAAGAGAGGAAGAAGGGAT